AACTCAGCTCTTGTTGAATTAAACTGTTCTGGGAATCCAGTGTGCTCAACCACAAATCAATTTCCATCCCTTCCAAGTCCCTACTCTCTGTATATGTTAACAGCTCAAACTTCCTTGTTATCAAGGCAATTTAGCCTCATAATGACCCTATGAACCCTCAATTTAGGTTTCTGAGGCTGTGAATCTTAACAAGAAAAGATTGCTCATCTTTCTCTTTCAGATTTGACCCACTGGAGATGTCCAGCCTTTTAATTAACAGCACAACACAGTATGAACTACACCACCAGAGCTCCTTATGTTAATTGCTAAAAGCTATTAAAAACTGAGCAGCAACCTTCCTCTCTAGTTGAGTCAGGATGTGAAAGAAACTCAGCATAAGGAAGTTTCATTTCATCTTTGTCACCTTCAAATCAGAACAGACTCCTAGCTGGCCCTCTAGTGGGATACTGATGTTGTAAATGACAGAGGAGATACTTTTCCCTGAAAGCCAATAGTGGATTCAAACCACCTGAGAGGTACTATCTTTAGATTAGCAGCACAATTCTCTATAGACCATAACCACCAGAGCTCCCGCTCTAAGGAAAAGAATCTTGACACAGTTGTCAAAAGAATATTTCTTCATAACAAAAATGTAGTAAGAGAGAACTACTTGGAAGCATCTTTGCTTATATAAAAGTATCCCAGATCACTTAAGTATTTGTTTAACTACCTCTCAATTGAAAGAAATGAAATCCTGGGACCAAGATGAGTTTTCACATATTTCTGACAACTTGGAGCAAAATACATCTTACAAAAAAGATAAGTAAACATAATCAGTGATGTTTAATGATTGCACTTGAAATCTAAACACCTATAATTAGGATTCTGAAATAAATCACTATAGTCTTCTCTATATAATTATCCAGTAGAAGAACACTGTCCACCCATAGTCCAACCTACTCATGACATCAACTAAAGCTGGGCTGAAGTTATATGTTAGGACATTTCAGTTGGAGCCTCAGCTCTCACTTAGGTGGACTGGTGTCTTCTGCAGCCAGATGTATTTTTATTTCTCTTTTTGCTGAAAAGGGGAGTTCTGGTAACATTGTCCATAGTGACTTGCATAGCTAATACAAAGGTGGTGTCTTTCTGGAGGTTCAAATCCACCAGTAGCTCCAAGGGAGAAAGACAGGCAATTTCCCAAGGGTATGACACACTCTGGGAAACCACAGGAGGGTCAATTATAAATTGCCTCAACAGCAATGAGTTTTGACTGTAAAATGCTAATGAAAGTAAATAAATGTAAACACTAAGTGGGATATGATGCTTTCCTCTCTTTCTTCACCACTTTGTCTCACCATAGACAATATCTCTAACAGCTGGCCTAGACATCTCACAAACAACTGACTAATGAGAAAAAGAGAAAAAGATAAATGCAGATGTTGCTGTTATGTGCCATCGAGTCGCTGGTGACTCACAGTGACCCTATGTACAACAGACCTAAACTCTGCTCTGACCTGTGCCAATCGTACTGTCTCTGATACTCCCATCCCGATTGCCGCAGTCACTGAATCAATCCACCTTATAGAGGGCCTTCCCCTCCTGCGCTATACCTCCAACCTACCAAGCATGATGTCCCTCTCCAAGGACTGGTCCCTCCTTAAAACGTGACCGAAGTATGTCAGATGAAGCCTCAGAATCCTTGCCTCCAAGGAGCAGCCTGGTTTAACCCTCTCCAGGATGAATCTGTTTGTTTTCTTAGCAGTCCATGGTTCCCTCAATACTCTTCCCCAGCACCACAGCTCAAAGGCATCAATTTTCCTTCTATCCTCCCTAGTCATTGTCGAACTCTCTGATGTATAACAAGTAATTGCAAAGACCATGGCCTGTATCAGATGCACCTTAGACTCCAGAGAGACACCATTGTTCTTCAGTACTTTGGAGAGGTCCCTAACAGCAGACTTTCCCATCGCAGTACGCCTTTTAATTTCCTGGCTACTGGTGCCAAGAGTGTTGACTATGGAGCCAAGCAAACGAAAACTGTGAACAATCTCAATCTCTTCATCATCCATCCTGATGATGCCAATTGGTCCAGTGGTGAGAATCTTTGTCTTCTTGATATTGAACGTCTAGCCATATTGAAGGCTGCAGTCTTTGACCCTCTGCAGCAAGCGCTTCAGGTCCTCCTCAGTTTCAGTAAGCAGGGTTGTGTCATCTGCATAACGCAGATTGTTGATAGATCTTCCACCAATCTTGACCCCACATTTCTCCTCATAGCGCCTAGCCTCCTGGATAATCTGTTCTGCATACAGGTTGCAAAGGTATGGAGACAGGCCATATCCCTGGCATATGGGTCAATGAAAATCTAACATAGAACTCAGGGGGGTGAATACATGTTCAGTTGAATACATATGCAAGCAGCAAGATGTGTGTTTTTGCTGGTTTTTAAATTTGCCTATCTAGAGCTACCATGAGTTTCTTGCTCATATTAGAAAACTAAGCCAAATCGATATTATATGTTACTGCCAAATGACAGATATGTAAGACAGTTCAGCTCATTTTCTCTCTTCCCCCTTCCCTTAAAAATTAGCAAAGGCAGAAATAAAATACTGAATGGCATTTGCTCAGTATAACAGTTGTCTATCTACCAAACAAAATCCTGTTATAGATTTTTTTAAAACATTTTCTGCCTCCATTTAGTAGTTGTTGTCATGTGCCGTCAAGGCGCTTGCGACGCATAGCAACTCTATGTACAAGAGCCCTAAATCCTTCTTTATCCTATGCCAACCTGACCATCTCTGACACACTCACTCTCACCACCCCAATCACAATATCGATCCATTTCATTGAGGGTCTTCCTCTCTTATGCTGTCCCTCCACTCTCCCAAACATAATGTCCCTCTCCAAGGACTGGTCCTTTCTTGCAACATGCCCAAAGTATGTCAGATGGGGCTTCAGAATCCTTGACTCCAAGGAGCAGCCAGGCTTGACCCTCTTCAGAATGTTTTTGTTCTCCTAGCAGTCCATGGTATATTCAACACTCTTCTCCAGCACCACAGCTCAAAGATATCAATTCTCTTTTCTATCATCCCTAGTCACTGTCGAACTCTCTGATACATAGCACATAATTGTGAAGACTATAGCCTGGATCAGATGCACCTTTGTCTCCAGCCTGACATCACTGTTCTTCAGTACTCTGAAGAGGTCCCTCACAGCTGTCTTGCCCAATGCAATTCATCTCTTGATTTCCTGGTAGCACGTACCAAGAGTATTGACTGCGGAGCCAAGCAAACTGAAACTGTTAACTCTCAAACTCTTCATCATCCATTATGATGCTGCCAATTGGTCCAGTGGTGAGAATCTTTCTTTTCTTGAAGTTGAGCTTCAATCCATATTGAAGGCTGCAGTCCTTGACCTTCTGCAGCAAGCATTTCAGGTCCTCCTTACTTTCAGCAAGAAGGGTTATGTCATCTGCATAATGCAGGTTGTTGATGAATCTGCCTCCAATCCTGATGCCACATTCCTCCTCCTACAGACCAGTGTTTCGGATGATCTGTTCTGCACATAGATTGAAAAGATATGGAGAAAGAAAACATCCCTGGCAGACCCTCTTCTTGATTTTGAACCATGCAGTGTCTCCTTGCTCTGTTCTGACAACTGCTTCTTGGTCCATGCACAGGTTTCGCATAAACACAATCAAATGTTCTGGGATTCTCATTCTTCTCAGAGTCAGCCACAGTTTGTTGTGATCCACACAGTCAAAAGCCTTTGCATAATCAATGAAGCACAGATAGACATTCTTCTGGTATTCTTTGCTTTCTGCCAAGATCCATCTAGCATTAATTATAGTATCCCTAGTACCACGACCTCTTCTAAATCCAGCCTACACATCTGGCAGTTCTCTGTTGACATGTTGTTCCAGTTGTTTTTGGATAATTTTCAGCAGAATCTTACTTGCATGTGATATTAATGATATTGTTTGATAATTTCAGCACTCTGTTGGGCCACCTTTCTTTGAAATGAGAACAATTATCGATTTCTTCTATTAGTTGGTCAGGTGGCTGTCCTCCAGATTTCTTGGCACAACTTACTGAGCACATCCAGGACAGTATCTGTTTGTTGAAATATGTCACCTGGTATGCCGTCAACTCCTAGAGTCTTGTTTTTTGCAAACTCATTAAGAGCAACTTGAACTTCATTATGCAAAAATCAGAGAATGGACAACATGCAGAAGGCTAACTCACACTCTACTAACTCTACAAGAGGGAACTGTCCTCATTAACAGCATTCAACACACAAAACTAATTCCCAAAGGTCAGACAAGTCCTCCCATGCTCCTGCACCCAGTTACTGGGCTAGAAATTCATTGCAGTAGCCACACAGATTGGACAAAATCTTATTAATGGTTTGAGGTTTATCAGGGAAGTTATAATTTGGGCTATAATTCTATGTAAACTATAATTCAGGTTAAGCACAAGACATAATGCCTCAGTTCAGAGAGCTTCCCAAGTATAATCCTAATAGTCTATACTTCAGGTTAACAGCAAGATATAATCCGAGTCCACACTGCTTCTCGGTCAAAAGCAAGAGACCATTCCTGGTCCAGGAAACTCTGATCCCAAAAGACATGCCTGTCCATTCTCTGCTTCCTCATTTTACCTAGTAGTGAGAATCCCCACACCTGCCAATGAATCTGCAGAACTAAACAGTGAGACAAGCCAATCCCCTTGTGGATAGACTAATAGCATCTTTACAAAGAAATGGCTCATGCATCTGTTGATGATGTAGGTGAGCCACCACATATTCGCAGGGCACTCAGAGCAGATCAGATTAGACCTGGGAAAGCAGAAAGCAAGCAATGACAAAGCCAAAGACAAGCCTCTAGGGAAGCCAAATTTTGAGCAACAAACCCACTATTACACAGTAAGTCATAGAATAAGGTCAAATATCTAATAAAGAAGCACAAAAGCAACAAAGTATCAGATACAAGATTCATCTGATTCAGTGTGAAAAACACTTACCTCAATTGAACTGGCTATATTCAAACATTCTTCCATTCCAGGAATATCCAGCTGAATGACTCGAAAATCTTTACATTTTATAATTATGGTACCCAGTGATCCTACAAATCTGTGAGAAAAAGAAACACAAATCATGCTCGGAAATATTACTTTATTGTTAATGAATTTATTATTAGTAATAATAATTTCTTTAAGAAGATAAAGTAGTCGTATCTTCAACTATATTTAACTTTCTTTTCTCCTCATGAGTTAATACTCCATTAAGTATTGACAGAAGAGTGCTGCACCACTTAGAAGAATGTTCCTCCAAAATCTAGTTAACAACCGATTTTTAAATATACAAAAGCCCTCCCCAAGATCTTGTTGACTCTAAACGAGATGCCTCTGGAAACTATGAACTTTGATGAATGATGACAGTTCTAGAAAGCCTTCAAGCCTTTTGTTCATAGGGTCACTATGAGTCATGCTCGATTTGATGGCAATCAACAACAACAATTAAGTATTAATTCATGTACTATTAATAATTTCTTGAAAAAGAAAGTAGTTATGATTCTCAACAAATTTTCCTTTTTTTTCTCCAGTTGAGAATTATTAAAATAAGAAACATAAAGGATTTTACTTATTTCTAACCTTGCAGCATTGCATTTAAGATACAAGTATCCCCTTTCAATGTTTAAAAATTATTAAATTGTGTAGCTGATGTTAGATGGATCTTAGCTGAAAGCAGGGAATACCAGAACAATGTATATCTGTGTTTCATTGACTATGCAAAGGCGTTTGACTGTGTGGATCATAACAAACTGTGGCTGACTCTGAGAAGAATGGGAATCCCAGAACACTTGATCATTCTAATGTGAAACCTATACTTGGACCAGGAGGCAATCGTGAGAACAGAGTAAAGGAACACTGCATGGTTCAAAACTGGGAAGGGTGTACGCCAGGGATGCGTCCTATCTCCATACCTTTTCAATCTGTATGCAGAACAGATCACCCGGGAGGCTGGACTCTATGAGGAGAAATGTGGGGTCAAGATTGGTGGAAGATCTATCAACAATCTGCGTTATGCAGATGACACAACCCTGCTTGCTGAAACTGAGGAGGACCTGAAGTGCTTGCTGCAGAGGGTCAAGGACTGCAGCCTCCAATATAGATTGAGGTTCAATGTCAAGAAGACAAAGATTCTCACCACTGGGCCAATTGGCAACATCAGGATGGATAGTGTAGAGATTGAGATTGTTCACAGCTTTCGTTTGCTTGGCTCCATAGTCAACACTCTTGGCACCAGTAGCCAGGAAATTAAAAGGCATATTGCGATGGGAAAGTCTGCTGTTAGGGACCTCTCCAAAGTACTGAAGAACAATGGTGTCTCTCTGGAGTCTAAGGTACATCTGATACAGGCCATGGTCTTTGCAATTACTTGTTATGCATCAGAGAGTTGGACAAAGACTAGGGAGGATAGAAGGAAAATTGATGCCTTTGAGCTGTGGTGCCTGGAGCAGAGTATTGAGAGGACTGCTAGGTAAACAAACAGATTGATCCTGGAAAGGGTTAAACCAGGTGGCTCCTTGGAGGCAACAATTCTGAGGCGCCGTCTAACATACTTTGGACATGTTGTAAGGAGGGACCGGTCCTTGGAGAAGGACATCAAGCTTGGGAGGGTGGAGGGACAGCGCAGGAGAGGAAGACACTCTATGAGGTGGATTGATTCAGTGACTGGGGTAATTGGGATGGGAGTGTCAGAGACAGTGCGATTGGCACAGGACAGAGCAGAGTTTAGGTCTGTTGTACATAGGGTCGCTATGAGTCGCAAGCGACTCGACGGCACATAACAACAACAACAATCTCCACTGAACAAAAAAATTACAGAAAAATGTCAAAATTAATCACAAATTTTGCATCGGTAAGTTTCATACAAATTTAATTATACTTAACTAAGACTTTAGTGCTCTTTTTTATTGTTGTCACATTTTGTTGATAGTGGCTAATAGGTCTGTCTTTTCTACTTTGCTTCTGATTGCTACCAATTCTTCTCCACAAATACTCCTCAGTATTATCTAAACTAAAAATTTTTAGATCAAAAGCTAATAAATTTTTGTTAAGGATTTTTCTCCTGGATGTTATAAAGAAGTTCATTCTCTTGACTCTAGTAATGATTTTACATATTTCAAAACATAAAAGATTTTTATTTTTAATATGTGTGGTTTATTATTATGGCCATGGTTCATGTATCTCAATAAAATCCACTGCCTTCAATTGAATTCTAAATCATGGAGGAAATCCTCTCTCAGGTTTCTAGGACTGTAAACCTCAACAGGTTTTTCTTCTGCAGAGCAGCTAGTGAGTTCAAACTGTCTATTTTTTTGGTTAGCAATCCAACACTTAACCTATCTGGAGCTGGAATAAAAAGACTCAAAGACCATTCAAAAAATGGATTTTATTTTTAAAATTCATTTTTAAATTGACAACATATGTATATGTATCCTTTTGTAGAGATCTACAGCATCTATTTTTGTAATATCCCTTTGTTGTTTAAAGTGAGGGAAAATTTTGAAAAAAGTCCAATTGGCTTTATTTATTGTTGTTGTGTACTGTAGAGTCAAAACCAACCCACAGCTTCTAGGTAGGTTTCAGAGGCAGTAAATTACACAGGAAGGGACTGTCTATGATTTTCTCATAGACCAGGTTGTAGATCTGAACCACAAACAGATGCTGCCCTCAACGTGCTACCCTTGGTTGTGCCAAGAATTCTAGAGGACAACTCCCTGGCCAGCTAATTGGAAGAGATCCACATTTATTTCCACTAAAAAAAAAAGGGATCCAACAGAGTGTGAAAATTATCAAACAAAATCATTAATATTATATAAGCAAGATCCTGGCAAAGATTATAAAAAAATAATTGGAACCTTACATCAATAGAGAAATGCCAGATGTGCAGGCTGGGTTTAGAAAAGTCTGTGACACTAGGGATATTATAGCCAATTTTTGATGGATCTTAGCTAAAAGCAGAAAGTATCAGAGAAATATCTGTGTTTCACTGAGTATCCAAAAGCATTTGACTGTGTGAATTATAACAAATTGTGTTTATCCTTGAGAAGAGTGGGAATACAAGAACACTTAATTGTGCTTATGTGAAATCTATACTTGTACAAGGAGGCAGCTGTCAGAACAGAACAAGGAAACAATGTGTGGTTCATGATAAACAAAGGTATACACCAGGAATATATCCTATTTCCCTACCTTTTTAATCTATATGTGGAACAGATTATTTGGGCAGCTAGATTTTATGAGGAGGAATACGGTATCAGGATTGAAGGAAGACTCATCAATAAACTGTTATGCAGATGACATAAGCTTGCTTGCTGAAACTGAGGAGGACCTGAGGCATTTGCTGCAGAAGATCATGCACAGTAACTTTCAATATAGATTGAAGTTCAACATCAGAAAAACAAATATTCTCATCATGGGCCATTTGGCAGCCTCCTGATAGAGAAGAGACTGAGATTGTTAACAGCTTCAGCTTGCATGGTTCCACAATCAACACTCTGGGTACCAGAAGCCAGGAAATCAAAAGACAAACTGCACTGGAAAAGTCTGCTGTCAGGGATTTCTCCAGAATACTGAAGAGCAACAATGTCAGTCTAGAGTCTAAGTTGTGCATGATCCAAGCCATGGTCTTTGCAATTACTTGCTATGCATCAGGGAGCTGGACAATGACTGAGGACGAAAGAAGAATTGATGTCTTTGAGTTGTGGTTCTGAAGAAGAGTATTGAATATACAATGGACTGCCAAGAGGACAAACAGGTCTGTCCTGGAGAGGGTGATAACCAGGCTGCTTCTTGGAGTCAAGAATTTTGAAGCTCTGTCTCACATACTTTGTGCATGTTGCAAGGAGGGACCTGTCCTTGGAGAGGAATATCATGATTGGAAAGGTGGAGGGAAAGCACGAGAGAGAAAGACACTGAAGAAGCTGAATTGACTCTTTTGACTAGGGTAACAGAGCTAGGTGTGTCAGAGACAATGAAACTGGCTCAGGATAGAGCAGGGTTCAGAGCTGCTGTGCAAGCAAATGACTCAGCAGCACATAGCAACAAGAAGCCACCAAAGCTCCCTAAGCTCTTTTGGCTTTATTTAGTTCTATAAAATATAATGAATGGATGAGGATGTGCAGGAGAAAGGGGGGATTTAATCACGGAATTGTACAATTTGATGGGGGAGTGAGGGAAATTGGAGGAATCTGTTCTCAAAAACAACATATTCAAATTTTGTAAAAAACTAGTATAAAAAAATATAATTAATGACTTAGGTTTTTTTGGTATGTGCCATCAAGTTGGAACCGAGCTTTAGCTCAACCTCTAGCTGGTTTTCAGTGGTTGTAAATCACTCAGGTGGTTGTTTATCTTTCTCCCAGGGAGCAGCTGATAAGAGTCAAACTGCCTACCTTTGGGTTGGCAGCACAACTCCTTACCCACAAGAGGTCCCTAAGGAATGTTTAGCAGAGTTAAAACAAAATTATTACTGTTTATCAGAAGAAAAAAAGCTACATAAGTTGTTTTCAATTCATTCAATCAATGCTTCTATTAAATTACCATTACTTGTAGAATACTGTAGTTACTATTATTTGCATAATATTTTTTAAATGTTTAAGTGTATCTGATGTAAACTAACTCAGTCTCACAAGGACAAATAGTGCTTAAGATGATTATTGTAAATATAGAAGGATAACTAGTAAGATGTGTAACATTCAAAAGGAGAAGGGAAAAGGGGAAGGTGACAGAAAAAAGGGAAGGCTGGAAATCACCAGAACAGCAGAGTTTAGTAGACAGATGAGGGGATGGTAAAAGAATAGGAAAGATTCAGTGAAGACTTGAAAAGACAGTATAGTAGCAGTCATAGATCAATGTAATTAAATATATAAAATGTATGCAAATGATTGTCTAAAAACAATGTATATGAGTGAAACACAATGTAAACAAATTGTATAAAAACAAAAAATATTTTTTTAAAGTGTAACTAGATTACAAGAGCTTTAAAGTGAGTAAGGATAACAAGATATACAACACTGGTAATAATAACAAATCATCTCCCAAGTAGAATGGGGGGGGGATACT